CACTCGGGCTCTGGTGTTGTCCATGTCTGTGGGCCATTCTTGTCCTGTTCTCTGGCACTGTGTACACGCCTCTGCTGTAGGACTTCCCGGGATTAACATGGGTGACAGTAACATTCCTTCAGCAGTCCTTTATACCATTCACAGTCTCTTCTAGGTCTACAATTATATGCACTTATAGTAATCTGGAAGGCTTTCTAAGAAAGTGCTTTCAGACCATGGGCCAGTGTTTTTCTCTGAGTTGTTAGAAAATGCTTCTAGGGCCATTCTTGTGGCAGCTTCTGAAAAGCGAGCTGGTTTCCTGCTTTGGATGCAGTCAATGATGGCATTGTGTCCCTTAGAAGTTTATTTTGTACAGTTTGGGGAATTACCTAGCATTTTTGTCTGCACTCTCCCCTGTAGTTCATTTAGTAATAAACAGTGCTGACTTTTTAACATACCTTTGGGCAAGCAGGAAAGCTTTTAGAAAGAGTACTTGAAGCTATTGTTGTAATGTCAGTTCAAGCATTTCCTGGATATTTGCATCGAGCTGTGCTAGATATAGTAGGGAAGAGCTGAGAGAAATGACTGCACTGGGACGTTCACACATGTGGCAGTGGTGATCCTGAAGATGGTGTGAGTCTAGACAGACTAGCAGTGCCATGTGCTGCTCTAGAGATGAGGTCCTTTCTCCTTTATTCTTTAAAGACAAAAGTGTGTCAAAGGTTCCAGTGTGTGCGCTGGTCTCGGCTAACTCACTGTCTTTCCCACTGTCTTCTAAGGACCTGACAGAAGAGTTTACTGCTGTCCTTTCAGAATGCTGATAGACTTCTTTTCAGGGAACTTCATAGAGTTTACCTTTGCAATAAACATTTGCCTTTGAAAATTTGACAGTTCATTGGAGTATGTTCAAGTTCGAGACTTCAGATTTAGAACTGCGTGTTCCTGTGCTGGCATCACTAGGTGCAAGGCCTGTGTGTTTTCAGGTTGTTCCTCTGTGTTTGCGAATACTCAAGCTTTTGCTTGGCTCACTGGGACTCTATTATTTATTTAAATTACATGGTGTCGTGCAGTTTTGGATCAAAGTGTGAAGGAAGGGCTGATAGAAAGGAACCAGTAATTGGAGAAGACCTGTTGTCTGCCAGCTTCTCTGCTGCCTGCTTTTCATGTTAACTCATTTGAGAGTTTTATGATTACTCTGTGAGGTTGGCTTTATCTTCATACTTTGGGTGAGGGTAGTAAGGCTCAAGAAACTAGTCACTTTTTTCAAGGAGAAATAATTGATAAATGGTGAACTCAGACCCTGGTCTGTGACTTTAAGGCTGATGTGCCCCCATCTATACTTCCTTCTGTAAAACACATGGATTCACTAGACTTGAATTATGATATGGATTCATGAGAAGGCCGCCCACCTTGCGTAGACTGTAAAATATTCAGACTTCCAGGGTCTGAATCCCATTTTGGCACTTCCAGATCCATGTGCTGTTTGGCTCAACATTTGATGTCTCTGAGCCTCAATCCTCACAGCACAATATGGCTATTAATAGTAATACTCCTGAAGATTTGGTGAGAATCACTTGAGATAGTACAGGATAGGCTGGCAGTGGGGCAGTGATAGGATATTTATTTCTCAGTTCTAGTATCTAATACTCTTAAGTTTCTGTATGTGGGCTAGTAGGGAAAGTTGGAGGAGAGTGAATTTCAGCCCCTTTGGTTTTGTGCAAGACCATTAAGCACACAAGCTCAGGCCCAGTTTCCTCTAGCTCCGGTCTGGACTTGACCTTTAGTTCAGTGGGGGGGGTAAGTGTTGAAATTGACCTAAAATGCTGGCCCTTTATTTGTTATTTTTCCCTCCTCCTACAGCTAAAACTTAATGTACATTTAAAACATTTCCTTTGCCCAGTGTGGTGGCGCACGCCTTTAGTCCCAGCACTTGGGAGGCAGAGGCAGGTGGATCTTTGTGAGTTCAAGGCCAACCTGGTCTACATAGTGATTTCCTGGTCAGCTGGGGCTACAGGGAGACCCTGTCTCAACCCCCCCCCCGCCAAAAGCCCCCATTTTCTTTAATTTACACCTGAGTGTGGTGGCAACATGCCTGTGATCCTAGCATTTGGGGGACGGAGGACCCTGTCTCAAGAAAATGATGAGATTTTATTTTGCAGGGAGGGAACAGAATGAGGGGTAGTTGCCAATAGTAGTTCATGATTCTACATCTGAAAAATGTTTTGGCACTGGAGATGGGACCCAAGACTTCACACATGCTAGGCAAACGCTCTGCCTTTGAGCTACAGCCCAGTTTTGAAGGCTTTTTTTTTGCTTTTCTTTTCTTAAAGTCTTAAAAAAGCTCAGATACACCCTTTTAGCGGACCCAGGTTTGTAGGTTGGTGGCTGTGTTCTGCCTCATGATTTACTTCACAGTCTACCCTGGTGTCTGAAATTCCACCACAGCCCGCTCTGTGAGAAGCACGCCATGTCCTTGGGTAAGCAGGATTGCTTGTAGGTCACCTGAGTACAAGGCCCAAAGGCACAAGGGCAAGTGGGAGGGTAGAAGTGTTCAACAGAGGGTGGGAGCGCACTGGCCTTCATTGTCCTCTCTCCCTGCAAGGTGAGTTGAGAATGAAGAAGAGGGGTGTAAATAAGTACCCAAGTTGTAAGCTGGGTGAGAGTGGAAGGCTTATCTTTGTCAGTTGTTATTGCATTTGTTTTATATGTGTGTTTGTGCATTTGTGTGGCATACATATGGAGCTCAGAGGACAAGCGTATGGGACTTGGTTCTCTTCTTCCACCTCCAGGGATTGAGCTCAGGTCATCAGGCTTGGCAGCAAGTGCGTTTACCTGCTATTTTGCTAGGTGATTGTTAGTGGCTGTCTAACCAGTTTGAGAACTCAGTACTGGTGCAAGCTGTTTCTGGCACAGCACTAGTACTTGCCAAGCCCAGTGACTCCCATCTTCTCAAGGGTGTCCACTTTGGTCTGCCAACCCTTTCCAGGTTCATTTGGAAGGTGGAGGAATAAAACCCCAGAGAGGAAGGCTTGTCAGCTGCCATTCTAAGCAGTACAGCCCAGTGCTTTAAAAGATGTTAAGTGCAATGGGAGGTGAAGAATACTTGATCCTCCACCACCGCTACCACTATCACCTTGACCTTAGGAAGGGAAATGTGGATAGACAGGACACCAGCCATGGTCTTTGGTTAGAGATGAGATGGGGAGAGGTTAGCTTGTAGGAGTTTGGTTTAATAATGTGGTCTAATTTAGAAAAGGAACAGCTAGAGGTAGGGAGACTGGGTGACTGATCTTGACAAGACCTGAAGCAGGGCACATTGCAGATGAGAGGTTGTATATCACTGGGGAAGGGGCAGAGAGGGGTTCATAAGGCATCTCCAGAGGGGTGCGAGCTGCTGGAAGTAGGAACTCCAGGCAGATTCTGCCGGTCTTAAGACTTTGTGCTTAGAAGACAGGGCCAATGAAGGTTTAATACGGAAATAGGGATGGGGACAGAAGCTTGGGAAAATGGTGAAAATGCATTTTCAGCAGCTCTGGAGCACAGGGCCACACTGGACAAACGGACTGATGACAGCGTGTCTTGTCGCAGCCCCTTTTGTTAGGATACAAAGGATAGAAATAGCCTTAAAGTGGTCTTCATCCATTTGATTTGAATCTTGCAACGCTACAGACAAGGGCAGCATAGAGTGAGAAGACCCCCTGCTTAGGCAGCGGACTTCAGCTTGTGGACTCAGACTTGGGACTCACAGGCTGCCTGGCTCTGGGCAGACTCTGGCCTGTGGTCGGTCATGGAAACATAGCTGGGGAAAGATAGGCAAAGGCTGATCACATGGTATCCTCTGCTGAAAGTCAGTGATTCTAAGTGTCTTAATGTAGCAAGTGGTTTGGTTTTTATATATAATAATTTCAGTGTGAGAGTTTGGAAGCTGAAGAATTTCAAGCTATAACCTTTTTGTCTACCTTTATTGTATTTTAGCAGTTCCTAAAGAGCTGAGGATGGAGATTGGTGGTAGAGTGTTTGTCTAGTATGCCCGAGACTTTGGATTCCATTCTTAGCACTGCAAGAATAAGACAAAACAAAACCAACTATTTGTAGCCTGGCGGGGTGGCGCAGGCCTTTAATCCCAGCACTCGGGAGGCAGAGGCAGGCAGATCTCTGTTAGTTTGAGACCAGCCTAGTCTCCATAGTGAATCCAGGCCAGCTGTGGCTACAGGCAGACCCTGTCTCAAAAAGAAGCCCCCTGGTATCCTAGTACTCGTGACAGGCAGGCATGATTGCTAGCTTCAGAGCAGCCTGGGCTAAACTGGGATTTCAAGACCAGCTTGGGCTTTATAGCAAGACACTGTCTCAAAAAATTTGTGGTAAAGTTGAGTTTATTGTATTTTCAAAGGAATAGTTTAGAGGATATTTGTGTTTAGAATCTGACAGTTTTATGGATGAATTTCTCTGTTTATTTTCTGAAATGATCCCTAGAAAGCACAGAATACCTTACTTTCTATTCCATGTGTTCTCTGTAAACCCTCACACACATTGATTTGCTTCACTGTATTGTCTCATGGTTTGTGACCATTTTGTTTTTGCTATTTTTTTTAAAGATCTGAAGTTTTAAAATATGATAGTCTGGGAGGCTTCACTTTTAGATGCCTTTCAATAGCATTTTCATTGGCTCAGAGAGTCAATCTGAGACGATAGACTAGGACCCTCTTGTCTCTTCAGCAACATGAAAGGTGCTACAACCAGTTTAAAATAGCTTACCGTGAAGGTATCTCTGAAAACGAGCACTCCCTTTCCCTGTTTTACGTGTGGCCATTGTACATAGCATTCAGCATTTAAAGCAGGATATCCAAATGCCTCAAACTTGGCACTTTTCTTTTCCCTAGCAACAGAAGAGAAGAAATCTCTGAAGCGAACCTTTCAACAGATACAAGAGGAGGAAGATGACGACTACCCAGGAAGCTACTCCCCCCAGGACCCTTCTGCAGGGCCTCTCTTGGTATGTCTTACCCAGAGCAGAATGGCACTGATGGCCGTGTGAAGACCATTGCCACAAGGTGGCGCTTGTGATCTAGTGTGGATTTTCAGAGGGCAGCTGCTGCTAGAGGCAAGAGCCCAGTTGATGAAGCTTGTCAGGCAGCCACCTTTGCCCTGCCTCGCCTGCCAGGACTCCTTAATGGTTTTATGTTTTGTAGAGTACTTGAACTTGGTTTTTCATTACCTAGAAATTAAAAAGTATTCTCTAAAAATAGATTGTTGTCAGGGGTTAGGTGATGTGACCGCGGTGTTCTAAAGCCTTCTGTGGCTTGTTTTATATTAAGATTTTACGGCTGGCTGAGAACAATCTTGCAGCCACCAAGAGCAGATTTGCTACTCTGTATTTTCCATTTTAAATACTGCAACAAGTAATGCTGAGGGTGTATCAGCATTACTTTGCCCCTTCTATTTAGCATCAAAGAAAATGAGACTTAAAACCTGATTAAGTGGTGTGTAAGTAACTTGCCCAGTATTTTTTGTTAAAGCTCCAGGAGAATTTAAAGAGAGAGAGAAGAAAAGGAAAGGTTATGCTTTCTGAGTAATTCAGAAAAGTATAACTTGCCCAGTATCTTCATTTGAAGTCAGATCTAATTTGTTTGCTTTTACCTTTTTGAGACAGTCTCACTGTGTAACCTCAGCTGGTCTTGAACTTAACAGCTTGCTGTAGCCAGATTTGACCTGTAATAACTACTGGGGAGCCTGAGGCGGGAGGAACGTGAATTCAAGGCCAGCCTGGCTACACAAGGAGACCCTATTTCAAAACAAATAATACTCCCGCCTCAGCTTCCCTGGTGCTGGAATTACAGGTGTGTGTCATTATATCTAGCTGCCTCTGTCCTTTTCATTGGGTCAGGGTACCTCAAATAACTATTATATGTGAATGTGCTCAGGACTTGGGTGAATAGGAACCGTCATGAACTGTGTTAGGCTAAAATGATGATTTGGATGGGATTAAGTGATAGCAATGTTAGGTCATACGTATATCTTTGTATCTAAAAACTTTAAAAGAAAAGAGTCTGGATTATTACCTTTCTGGGAAATCTAACCAGCATTGACAGAATCAGCTGCTCAGGCCCACCTGCCAGCTTTCTGTGTTTTCCAGTGATTTAGTTTGCTTTTCTTGTTCTTACCCCTTGATGAATTAATGATACTTGCTTTATAAAGCAAACTCAGGAAAGAATTTAATCAGCCAGAACATAATTGCTAAACATTTGGTATTTATATCTTTTTCCTATATATAGGCTGTTCTATACTGGAAGTAATGCTTCCATTGAAATTAAGCAATATGAACCAGAATCCACTTTTTTTTGTCTTTTTGAGACAGGGTCTCCCTGTAGCCCCAGCTGTCCTGGAACTCACTATGTAGACCAGGCTGGCCGTGAACTCAGAGAGATCCGCCTGCCTCTGCCTCCCAGGTGCTGGGACTAAAGGCGTAAGCCACCACACCCAGCTAATAGAATTCATTCTCAGTACAAAGAGTAAGTCCTGAATTTTTCTAAGAATGCTGACTCGGGTTCTCACCAAATAAAAGAAACCTGTTTCTCTGGTTAATATATTCCCAGTGAGAGCCAGGGCATGCCTATAATCCCAACACTTGAGAGGTTGAATCAGGAAGATCCGCCTGCCTCTGCCTCCCAAGTGCTGGGATTAAAGGCGTGCACCACCACGCCTGGCTCAGAATCCACATTTAAAAAATATATATATTTTTACTATTTTAAATTGTGTGTGTGTGTGTGTAGGGGGGTATGTGCACGTGAGTTTGAACACCCACAGAGGACAGAGACGTCAGATCCCCTGGAGCTAGAGTTACAAGCAGTTGTGAACTGTCCAGCATGGGTACTGGGAATGGAATTTGAGTTCTCTGCAGGAGCAGTACATGCTCTTAACTGCAGAGCTCTCTCCAGCTCCCAGAATCCATATTTTAAAAATTAAAAAAATTTTAATCTTTATTTTATGTGTATGAGTATTTTGCATATATGATGTAAATGTAAGTACACTCTTATTGGGCAATGCCCTTGGAGGCCAGAAGAGGGTGTCAGATCTCCCGAAACTGGTGTTAAGGATGGATGTTAGCCTACATTTGGTGCTGGGAACTGAATCCAGGTTCTCGGAAAAAACAGCCAGTGCTCTTAACCACTGAGCCATCTCTCTAATCCCAGAATCCATATTTTTTTAATTGACAAAAATAAGCTCTTTCATTTATCCTATTGTAGACTTAGAGAAATTAATTTTCTATCTTTTAAAATCTGTGTCTTTGACATCCGTGGGATTCCTGGAACTAAGAACAGAAGGTCTTTTTGTTTGTCAGGAATGCCAGGAATGTCTGTTTTTAGAATTTACCTGTACTTATTTGACTCTAGATAATTTTCTTAAGCCCTCTTATTTTTAATGGATAGTCTTGTTTGTGTTTTCTTTCTATAGACTGAAGAGCTAATCAAAGCTTTACAGGATCTAGAAAATGCCGCCTCAGGGGATGCTACTGTTCGACAGAAAATTGCTTCTCTGCCCCAGGAAGTACAAGATGTTTCTCTATTGGAAAAAATAACAGGTGAGAAGGTAGAGTTGAGGTGAGAGGTGAAGAGAGAAGGACCTGTCTGTAGCTCCTAAGTGGAGCACTGATCACTAGGACATGCTTATGTCCTCGGTATAGACTTTGTGTGATGTTGGGTGCTCTGCCGTCTTGGGTGTGCAAGCCACTCACACACTCAACAGAGAAACTCTTGAGACAGAGCTTGAGTAGTGATTCTAAGAAATGCTGGCCTGCTATAACTTGTAGTGCTATCAATAAGATCTGTCCACAACACAGTGCAGATTGTTAATGTGTCCAGCAGTGGAGGCCCGGAGGGGCTAGGCCATAAAATCAGGACCCCTTTGCTAAAAGAAAAAAAATGGCTGATACATAGCTGTGTAGTTTAATACGCTGCACACTGGCAAGCCTGTAGGTGATTCAATGCCAAGAATTGTTGTGTGTTATTGGGCACATCACATTAATCATGATCACTCCCAGTTAAACAGGGAACTTGACACTGGTCTGCTTTCTACGTGAGAGGTTGAAGAAGGGAGTGAAGCATGAGCTGAGCTTTTAAAGAGTATGCTCTGCCTGTTGCCCTACTCTTGATCATCTTTGAAGATCTCTGAATATGGAATATGTATTCCCATATTATATAGGGAGAGATTGAGACCTTGAGAAGTTAGCTATCTTGGCCAAAGTTACATGCACAGTGGATTTTGGGATTCCAGCCTAGCCTGCAAAGTAAACATTTTTCCCATTGCAGAAGTCCAGGGCTTTCATTGCATTCTCTTCCTCAGTCCACCACTTCCCTTCCAGCCCCTTGATCTGACTGCTTCTCTGGCTTCCTCCATGTCCACCCATAGGAAGTCAAGGTTACTCCAGAAGTAATTCCTTCAGTCAGCAGATCCTTGAGACTCACCATGTGGTAGGTGCTCTTGGCCATAACCTTTTGGGGTGAATGCCAAGGAGGCAGGGTATGGGCACAGGGAATCATTGAAGGAAATAAAGGTGGTCAGGGAAGAAGAGGAAATCTTATTCTGGAAGCAATCCTTTCTGTCAAGCCTGTACTCTCCTGTTACCTCTCTGAAGCCTCCCTTGAAGACCATCTTATTGAAAATGCTGATCCTGTGCCAGGCATGGTGGTGCATGCCTTTACTCCCAGCACTTGGAAGGCAAGGGCAGGTGGCTCTGTGAGTTAAAGGCCAGCCTGGTGGGCATAGAGAGTTCTAGGTCAGCCAGAGCTACATGGTGAAACCCTCTTTCAAATACGTGTATACACACAGGTCCCTTCACTCCCAGGGTCCCATTCTTCTCTGTTTAGTTCTTAACATCAGCTGATACACAAGTACAATATTATATATTGCTTCCCTTTCCCTGAGAATACAAACTTGAAGGCAGATGGAGTTTGTTTTTTTGTCCCTTGCTGTCTTCAGACAGGCACTTGAGAGGAACTCGGATATTTGTTAGGCTGATTGGAAGGTTGTGCACCGAGTGTTTGCAGTGCCGATTGGGTGAACTTCATGACAGGAGGAGAGGGGGTGGCTACAGGGACTGTAGATGCCTCTTGAGTTTGCTGTAAAAGGGGAGCAGGGAAGTGAGATAATAAGCAAGGAATGCTAACTGGTTTGGGAGATAGCCACAAACTCCCCTCTATGCTCAGGAGGGAGAGAAATGGAGGACACTGGAAAACCTCACGGACTGGCACAGAAACTGAGCCTTTGAGTCTCCAAGAGAGCAGGATGTCTGTGTACAAGTGGAGGGACGGCTGGCCTCATTAGGTTGACTGCTGCTTTTGGTGTAGCGGGGAGGGCAGGGCCAGGCCAGGCCAGGCCAGAACATAGTCACAGAGGAGTGCCCAGGTGAGGTCTGCTTCTGGTTGGACTACACTTTTCATTTAACTAATTAAATGATAAAAAGTTATTTTCTGGATTGCAATTACTTGTATATATGATTTATTTACACACATTCTTAAAGGTAAGAATTAATTTTGTGAAAAATCTTAAAAATTTGTGTTTTCCTTACCATTTTTTTTTGCCACAGGTATTCTCACATCTTATTAGCTATTATAAAATGATCAGTTAGTCAAGCACTGACAAAGCTAAACCAGCCATCCACCCTGGCACTGTGTTCACAGGCCACACCACCTGCCTAGAATCTACCTGGTAGTCCCCTGCCCTCTCTTATAGGTCCTCTGCCCACCTTGTTTTGCTGGTTCCTTCCAAGTATGTTTGTTCTCTAAACTAAGGAGGGATGAAACCTGACAGCCGGGGACAGATTTGTGTCACTGAATTTTCATGTGGAACTGCTGGCAAGTCTGGTGCTCTTTGTTTCAAAGTATCAACCTTCTGTTTTCATCCAGAAGATCCTTCTTTAACAAGATGCATATGTTTAAAGTTCTGCCACCACCATAATTAAGTACAGCAATTCCTTATGGATCTAAGTCGTCCTTTTGTTTCTTCTCATTTGCTAATGCTGAGACTTCATCACGTCTTTCCAAGAATACCCTTTCTTATACTTCAGGGTTTGGGGGGAATTTTTTTTTCTTCTCAAAGTGTAAGTGTCAAGCCGTTAATTGAACATGAAATCAGCTTGGTATATGATGACCAACACTAAATAGAACAAAATAAGGAAAAGTGCATTTGTTCCTCCCTCTTTCCCTCACTTCCTTTTTTTTTTTTTTTTTTTTTTTAAAGACAGGGTCTCACTGTGTAGCCCAGGCTGATCTGGAACTTGTGACAATCCTCCTGCCCCTGCCTCCTGAGTACTGGGATTATAAATGTAAGCCACCATATTCGGCTCTGTTTCTTTTTATTTGTGTTTATGGAAAGTGTATTTCTGGGGCTGGGGTAGTGGCTCACAGGTTAAGAGCACTAACTCCTCTTGAAGAGGACCCAGGTTTGGTTTCCAGCACTCGCGTGGCAGCTAACTTAACTCCAGTTTCAGAGGCTCTTTTCTGGCGTCTCTGGGCATTGCACTCATGCACTTACATACAGGCAGGCAAAATACATATAAAATAAAATAAATATAAGATAAAATTCATACATATAAAACTAAAAATCTAAAAAGAAAAGAAAAAAGAAAGTGTATTTCTGCTAAAGGCTGTGTTCAGAACATTGGAAAGCCTCTACTCCTTGTCAGACCAGTATTTTGCCAAGTACAGGGGGAAAGCTCATCCCCAGCCTCCAAGCTTCTTTTGCACGTGACCAGAGTCCTGTAGATCTGTTTCAGAGATCACATAGTAAATCTCATGCAGCTGTTTTCTCCCTTTCCACATCCAAGGAGTGCTCACTGTTTTACTCCAGAACAGTGGAAAAGAATCTTAATGAAATAATACAAATAAAAACTATTGAACTTCTTAGAGACAAGGAAAATTATTTCACAGGCGACCTTAAATATCAGTACCTTTCAGCTTGTTTTACCTGTAGAGCTTTCTGCAGACCAGGCATTTCAGAGTCCTTGCCAGATCCCTTTCCCACTTCAGTTGCCTCACTTCAGGTAATTCAGAAATGCCATCTTGTTGGCAGTTAGTGCCTTTGAATTCCTTGCTGGCCAGCATTGTTGGTGCACAGGTTCTGGGCTATTCTTGGACCCCATGAACCTTCTCTCGGGAATGTTTGCAATCATACTTACGTGATTTGTATATTGTCTCTGTTTTTTGGTTTTATTTGTACTCAGACAAAGAGGCAGCTGAACGTCTTTCAAAAACGGTAGATGAAGCATGTCTGTTACTAGCAGAATATAACGGGCGCCTGGCAGCAGAACTGGAAGACCGGCGCCAGCTGGCTCGGATGCTGGTGGAGTACACCCAGAATCAGAAAGATGTTTTGTCAGAAAAGGAGAAAAAGCTAGAAGTGAGTACATTACGAGGCAGGCCCAGACTGCCCTGATGTCCCCTTCTACAACCCATCTTATTCTTGAATTAATGTTTATCTCTTAAAAAATCATGAAATGGGAGCACCCAGAAGATAATTATTTGTGCCTAGTTAAAAATTGAAGTTATGTTTTTATATGTCCAAGAATGGAAAAGTTGGATTGTGAAAACTGTATCCTTTTAATCACAGCATTAATGTTGTTTTTATTTAGTGTCACATCTTAAAATTGTAATTGAGGTATAGAAAGGTGAGCAAAATCAAAGGTTACTTTATATTTGAGAATCTGAGTCATTTTGAGGTGCATTTCTGACTTGTACATGCTAAGGCCAAGTAAGTTGTCTGCTTCCAAGCTTTGCCCTGTATTGGCTCTATAATTTCAGTGATGTTTGTGGAACCAGATTCAAACTGTTGGGAAGGAACCTGTTTCTCCCCCCAAATTGAGAACATGCACCTGCATGCCTCTGGCAAGGAGGTGTTTAGAATTGTTGTTTGAATTCTTCTTAATTTACCTTAGGGCCTTGTCCCTTGGGTAACAGCATCAGCACTAATAGATATTGGGGGGACGGGCTCTCCCGCATTGTTTGGCCTCCTTTCCTTTCGTAGGGGTGTCTACTCTGTTTAAAAGATACATGCACCCACATGGCAGCTAACAACTGTCTATAACTCCAGTCCCAGAAGATCTGACAGCCTCTTCTGACCTCTGCGGGCATTGCACGACATGGGTGCACTTACCTGCATGTGGTCAATACACACACATTAAAAAAAAAAAAAGAAAAAAAAGATACATGAAAATCAGGTGTGGTGTCACATGCCTTTAATCCTAGTACTTGGGAGGCAGAGGCAGGTGAATCACTGCAGTTGGAGGCCAGCCTGGTCTACATAGGGAGTTCAGGCCAGTTGGGGCTGCAGGGAGACCCTGTCTCAAAAAGATTAAAAAAAAAAAGATACATGGAAAAGAGTGTTTCTGGGAGGGGAGAACAGGTCTGAGTTGGAGAGTAAGCCCTATTTTATCGAAACAAAAACCTCATAAGGCCCACTCAGAGCAAAAGACCACCCTCCCTCCACTGGGGAAGGTGTTCTCTGGCACAGAGGGAGGAAACATTGAGTTAGCTCTAGCCGATTGTCACATTTGTTATTCTGTGATCAACTGACTGGAGCGGGTGTGCCACATCTCTACCTCAGTGATTATGGGAGCTGTAACAGCTAGAGGTTCTGGGACTTCTTATCCAGCTTGGATGCAGAAGATGGGAAATGACTGGGACAGCAGTGTAGCTTGAATGTAGACTCAGCACTGACCAGAAGTCCTAAAGGGCTTCACTGGCTTCACTGGCGGTAGCAGACGGCCATTTATCTGAGGAAGCATTTTCAGCACTGCACCCTGGGACTAATAAGAGAGTATAATTAATGATCCTGGTTGTAAGTCATCATGCCATCTGTTGAACTGCCCCTTGGCGACACATTAAGGGCTTTCTCTGATCTGTCAGACATTGATTATCATGAGCAGCTGTCGTTGGGTGGAACGTGGCAAGCCGCACCTAGAGGACAGTCTTTAAGAAGGAAACTGTGGGTAGAGCCTGTTAACCCTTTGTTCTGTCTTTCCTCCATGCCCCAGTTGTACTTTGCTGTCTATTTCCTAATGAGTCCTCGTTTCTGTAGAATGAGTGACTTGCTGGGTACCGTGAGCAGGCCATCAGGCACAGAGAAAGACTGGAGGTTGGTCCATTTTAGCTTTGCATCCTACATTCCTTGTTAGTTCATGGAGTGGATGTGGTGTTGGAACCTGATCACAGGGCCTCTGTCCCAAATCATGTCACCCAGCCAGTTGAACAGGACCATTCATTGTGAAAAAATAATGAAGTTTGCTGCTTTTTAAAAAGCAAATGACAGGCGCTGGTTGTTCTTGCAGAAGACCTGGGTTTGAATCCCAGCACCCACATGGTGGCTAACGACTGTCCGTAACTCCAGTCCCAGGGGATCTGACAGCCTCTTCTGACCTCCGTGGGCATTGCACGATATGGGTGCACTTACCTACATGCAGACAATCCGTGCATACACATAAAATAAAAATAATAAATAAAATTTAAAAAAATAAATGAAAAGCAAGTAACTAGATAAAATGAAAGAGGTTGAGGGATAGGTTTTGTGCTTGCTAAGAATGTGAGCAGTCCGTTCTTCTGAATCCAAAATTTCCTCTCGTACCTCATAATAGACTGATCTTACTCAATTCTGTTCTGATGGTGATACCTGGTGTGCAGCTTGGAAGATGCCATAATGCTGCAATTCCTCCAAATCCTCATCAGCCTCTTCACAAGGGAGTAGTACTCACCCACACCTCCTCTGATACCTTGCCTTGTTTGTTTTTTCCTGACTGGCTATCATTATGTATCTCTGACTAGCCTGGAACTTGCTATGTAGACCAGGCTGGCCTGGAACTCAAGAGATTCCCCCATCCTCTGCTTCCGGAGTGCTGGGATTAAAGGTGTACACCATCATGTCTGGCTTGAAACCTTGCCCTTCCAACAGTCCTTGTCCTTGCACTCCCAATCAGAAGGCTGATTGAATCTTTTATTTTGAAACCTTTTACTACCTTCAGTGAAAGGACTCTTTGAAATGTGATTCTTGGGAGTCTTCTTTCCCCACACTTCTAATTTGTTAACACTTTAAGTCTGTATTTTAATTTTTAACTATATCTTCCATTAGAGAAGGAGTATCTCTCTTTTCTTTCATTGTGAGTTTTATGTTGGGTTTCTAGTGGCTTCCAAATCTTGCTGTAGGTTTAGAGGAAGTGTTGGGTGAGAGTCTGGGCGGAAAGGAGGCTGTTCTGGCTCACGGAAGGAAATTGTGTTTGAAGGAAATCATATTCTGGTATAAAGAGTGTAGGTAAACATAAAACTAAACGGACTGACTGTACATAATGGAGATTAAGAAGTGCAAGGACAGTTCTGGTTGTGGTTTAAGATAAACCCAAGCTTCCTGCCAGGCAATAAAGCCTTTTTGTAAAAGGAGATGGCAGTTGGAGAGAAATGTTTTATAAAGGGGAGCAATCAGATTGGCCAGGACAGGTATGTGAAGAAAGACAAGGCAGGATGTGGAAGGATGCAATACAGACCCCATGGGGAACTGGGGTACTGTCTTTAGTGCTGCTTGTGCATCTGCGGAGTCACCAGTCTTACCTGTTCACCCGTGGACTTACGTGCAAAAATGGGTAGGGTGTGCCCCCTCTAACCAGGAACATAGCATTCGCCTGTTGTGTGTGCAAAAGCCCGCTTTGTCCCAGAGCTTCTACTCCATGAGAGGAACTGCAGCAAGAAAGGCCTTCACAGGGCATGTGAGAAAGGTTATAGGGCGGGGGACGTTCCGGCTCATCATGTCCACATGGAAACGGACCATGAAAAGCCTTCCAATTAATAACATTAATTTGGTCAGATGTTTATTAAGAATGTGAGTAAATTATCAAATGGGTGAGCTCTTTCTGAACACCATATGCCTCCAGCTAGTCTTGTGAAGTTTGTTATACGCTGTGTGCTCTTTGACTGTTCTCACAGTGCCAGGAACATATTTGTTCCTCAGAAAATACTTGTTCTGTGACTGAAATTCCTCACTTGATGTACCTTTTCCTATAAAGGAAAGACTCATTAAGTGGTTTAGCAGATTTGATTTCATTTCTGGCTGCACAGAGCATGTTAGTAAAGGTAACTATTTGGTTGGAACTCCTGCTGGTTTCCACTTTGTGCCGCTTTCCTTCTTCTTTTAAGTAGAATTACGGTTCATGTGGAGATGATACTTTTATCTTTGACTTCTGAGTGTCATGGTTGGCATACCATTTTTCCCTTAACCTCCAAGCAAAGTTACAGGAAAAGCTGCTGAAAATCTGTGCTTTGTGTCATGAACAGAGAAAACCAGAGGTGAAGTTAGAGAGTGTGGGACCCAAAGCAAGGTGGGCTCAAAAGGGCAAAAACCAACAATACCTGAACAGCCTTTAGACATCACTTCTCAGAACAAAGGGAGGCTCTGCTTCTTGACAGAGAAGAATCCTGGGCCAAGCACCCGCTTAAAGCTCATGAGCTTTAGTCTGAGTAGGTTGGACAGAGTTCTTGTCTCGTCAGATTGGATAAAACATGGTGTGGATACGTGCATCAAAGCCATCAGGACAAGGATGGGTGAAGATGAGGGGAGAGAAATCTACTTCTACAGGCATTAAAGAAAAAAAAAAAAACCAAAGGGTCAGGCAGTGCAGTGTCACCTCTTTGACACACCAGCTCTGTGCATTCGGATCATTGTGTATGTCAGTGATCTAGGACTAAAAGGGGACCATCCTGCCTGTGCTGTATAGGCCACATGGTGCATAAAGACTAATGCCAGACAGGAAGGAACTCTGGGAGATAAGGCCAACTACAGATTTATTTGTGGGTTGAAGAGAAATTTATATAACATAAAATTAACTATTTTAAAGATTGTATTTCAGTGCCATTTAGCACTTCATAGTATATAATATAGTACAGCTATCATCTATGAAGTTTCAAACAATTCATCACTCCAAATGGAAAGCTCATCCCTAGTTGGCAGTCTCTCCCTAGGCCTGCTCTCCCTGTTCCTGGGAATCACTGATGTATTTTCTCTCCTGTCCTGGGGATTTTCTATAATTGCATCTCTTCTCTCACTTGGTGTGATCGTTTGAAGTCATCTGTAATGTACTGTTCTAGTACTTCATTCCTACTGTGGATAAATATTGGCTCTAATATAAACAATTAGTACAACAGTAATAACTAACAATAGCCATTATATGAATCTGTCACAGTTTGTCTAGTCATTGTCATTGATGGACATTTGAATTACATTTGTCTCTCGGCTCCCATGAATAATGCTGATTAATCTTCTTGTGGACAGTCAGGTGCAAATTTTTGTGGAGACATGTTTTCATTTCTCTTGGGTATATGTTATACTTCAGGTTGCGGTTGCTAGATTCTGTGGTGATTCGG